TGGTGGTAGATACTGGAATTACAACATGGATTTTCAACCTAAAGTCAGGGTCAGTCACGTGTGAGTGTCTTACTTCAAATCCCCTCCAGTTCCTGTTGCCAACATTCCCCTCCACCAAAGGGAGCCTGCCTTTGTGTTTGGACTCAGCTCTCTGTTTCAAAGACTCAACTGCGGTGGGCCAGCGGGAAAGCTGAATGGGGTCGGACAGCCATGGGGATAGGAGTCAAGAGCAACAATGAGGGGGCGGCGGGAAGGCTGCATGCGCTTGCTCTCCCTGGAAACGCGCTGTCAGACTCAGGAAGTATGATTTAATCCTGGTTAAAATCATTCCACTTTATACTCCAGAAAGGACTGTCCCTCTAATAGAATTTTGCTTTCAGTCTTGCCCTGGGAAACCTTACCAGTAAATAACTTGGTGTATGTTGTTTGCCCTGTTAGTTCAAATACACAAAATAGGCATTTATTCTTCTGCTATCCACCTGCTTTTCCCTTAAAAAGCTCTCAAAAGAGGACCCAAGAAGCTGCTGCCCCCTTGGAAGATGCTGGACTGTGGCCCACAACGCCCTCAGTGAGGCTCGGGGGAGGAGAGGAGACTGTGATTTAGTCAAAAGAGTCACTGTTGGTCTTAAAAGAGCCACAGAGATGCCTTGCGGTTCCCACTTAAGCCCTAAGGCCCACTTGAGGTGTTTGTTGTGAGGTAGCCCTATACAGAGACTAAGAAAAATAACAGCAGCAAATATGCATCAGGGATCTGCTGAATGCTAAGTGCTTTGCAGACTTGACCTCGCTTTATCCTCACTATAACTCCTTGTGGGAAGCACTACTTGAATCCCCATTTTACAGATGAGGAAGAGAGGCAAAGAAAACTGAAGTAACTAGCCCAAGATCACACTACAGGTAGGACATGACGGAGTCAGCATTGCTCCCAGACCATCTGGCTGCAAAGTCCGTGTTCTCACTGCTCTCCTTTCCCTGGACCATCAATGCCTCAAATATCCCATTATGTTTATAATTAGACAGAAAATATTGTTTTTAGAAACAGGGGCTCCACATTGGAATTTAAAAACCTGGAGGCTTGGCTTAGAATCTCATCCTTAAATAAAATTTGACTTTTGGTCAGGCAGGATGTTGCCCAGATTATCTATTGGATTAAAACTTGTTGTCCCAGCCCATAAGACAGTCCCTGCAGGGGACTCACTGGTGCTACTGACAGACTGAGCTCCGCCTTCGAGGCGCTACTTTTCCAGCCCTGCCCTCCCCAGAGACTCAGGTCATAATGCCAAGCAGCACATAACAAACCACACCCTATGTCTACAGAGATGCTCCTTTAGTGCAGGCAGGTGGGACACCTTGGCAACTAATGTGACTTTGCTTGGCAAAGGATATGCTGCCTTGTCACGTGCCACTTACCCATTAATGACCTTTTCTGCCCTCCCACCCCTCAGTTGTCTTTCCTGCATCTTATCCTTACTCTCAGCTACTGTCAGGTAATCCTTTTGAGAGCATCTACAGACCATTAAAATGCTACCTCCTAGTCCTTCATATTGGACTCCTCCCAGGGATATTTGCTTTCTAAGAGATGGCTGTATGTGTAGCCAACAGAGGGAGGGCCATCCTGCTTGATATCCTCGTTTTCTGGCAGTTCTCTCTGCTGTTGGGAACCACAGGCTCACTGAAAAGTCTCTCCAGATGAGGTCAGCTGGATTACTTGTTCCCAAAGTAGTTTTGAGCTGGATGAGGGAGAGAGAGAAGGAATGACCTTGGATGAGTCACCAGTACTCACATCTCCTCCTCCCTGCCTCGTCTCCCTTAGTGCACACAGACCTCTTTTGCAGGTGCAGATGGGGTGTCACTTCTGAAGATTACCAGCCCCTTTCTGTAGCACAGGTTTCCAAGCTCTACTTTGCACTAGAACCACTTGTGAGTTCAAAATGCAAATTCCTGGGCCCTGGAATTAGAGAGTCTGATTTGGAAAGAATCTATACTTTCGACAATTACCTCCAGGTTAATGTGACGTGAAGACCAGAGAAACACTATCATAGAGTTCTTTCTTTAGTTACCTGTTGAAAGGCTTTTCTCTCTCAATGAAACTGGATAAACTCATTGCTTCCCTCGAGTCCTATCAGTGTCCTTTCTTCTGAGTCTATAATAGGAGGGAGTCATTAGTGCTGCCAGCATACCTAACAGAACTCAACAAAGCACAACGTCAATAAAAGCCCTGATTTTATTCTGCTTCTGCAGGTTACTGATGGAGGCAGGTGCACCATTGCTGGGAATTTGATAAATGTGTGGACAATGAAAGGAAAACAGTGTTTGAATGCCTGAGTGCACAGCGCGAAGTGTGTGCTTCTTGGAGAACCTTGACAGCTTGTTCAAGGTGTGGAATCTGAGCTGGGCTTCACAGAACCATATTCTTTTTTATTTTATTTTTTGCATAGAAGAACTGGGTAGTAGGCCAGAGGTGTGTGTGGAGGGGGGAGGTGAGAGGATTCACCAGAGACAGAGTGGAGAGCAGAACAGGCGGATTTACTGAAATACACTGCTAAGGGGAACAGAGGGCAAGACAGGAGAGGTCTGCTGCGCCATGTGGGTCACCTCCCTGGCTGAGGATAGAACTCAGGCAATAGCAGTGATAGAGCTGAGACTTAACCTGTAGGCTACCAGGGATGCCTAGAACCATGCTCTTTAACCACAACAAGCTAGTGCTACTTACTGTGTATCAATTTGTTGAAATTTATTTTCTTGTTTCTGTTTCATTGTCTTGTCTTCAAGTATACATGTCTTTCTGTTGCACACACACACACACACACATACACACACCACACACATACTCTACCTGAGCCTTATAAACAAGTGTTCTTAAGTAAATTTTGGCTTAGAATTAAGGAATCAGGGAAAATTCTTAAGCCTATATTATACTGCAAAAATCACCTTCATAAATTATCTCAGGAAAGCTGCTGACTCAGGAAAGGTCTGCAAGATAGACATTTTATACATATTTACTTGTTAAAAAATCAAAACAGGGTGGGATCATGAAGAAAATATCATTTACCTACTTGAGAGAGGGCCTTGACAGAAGCAGGAGTTATGTAATTGCTTTGAATTCAAGCCAGTTCTTCCTGTTTGGAGAGGATACTCCCTTTTCTTTTGAAAATATTAACTTATTTTATCTGCTGAAAAGCTTCCCTAATTTATCTTAGTCGAATGGCATCTTACAATCTGCCACTGTTCTCTGTTAGAGCTTTAAAGTACTAATAACAATTGCTAGAATTGCCCCTTTAAGGAAATTCCCTGTGTTATTCTGGCCTTGGAGCCAGGTTTGCCTTCAACCCCTTCCAACTAATGCTGGATCTGGATGGCAAGTGCAGGACAGACCCAGACCGGGATGGTGGACAGGAGAACCTCAGACTTGTTTTCTCAACGCTGGATTTATCTCACCTAAACACTAAGTAGCTCTGTGATCTTACATAGGTCATATAGTTTCTCTGTGCTTTCATCGCCTTCTCTGAAAAATGAGAATAAGGATACATCTCAGAGAGCTAGTGTGAGGTTTATGTGAGGTAATGATACAAAATTCTCCTGTGCCTGGTAGGTAGTAGGTGCCCTATAAATGCCAAAGTCTTTCCCAAATTGAATAAAAGAATCCTAGAAGCTGCATCTAGCTCTAGCAATCTGTATTTTGGGGGGAGCCATTTGGTACAGAGGTAGGAAAAAGTACTGGGTTATTAGGATTCAGAGACCTTCATGAAAACATTTCAGAGGGTTGAAAATACAATGAAAACCAAAAAAAAAAAAAAAAACCGACCAAGAAGGCAGGAAATCGTCACCTTGACCATTTGGTCCAGAGAACAGGAAAACTGAAAGATTTAATTTCCTCAACTAAAAGTCAAAGCAGCCAGGAAGATTAGGAAAACAATCCTGGGTTGGCCTCACCATGATCTTTGACCATGATGCAGTGCAGGCTTGGCTTTACTATTCAGGCAAAAAAAAAAAAAAAAAAAGGGAGGGGGGATTTCCTTAAGTTTTAATTTTATCAAAGTATTTTTTAAGAAGAGACATCAGGGCAAGGGAATGAAGAGCCAACCCATTGTGGGCACTGGCATCCTCTGAGTTCTTTTGCTTATTATGTGCTAGTAGTCAGAGGAGCAGCTCTCAACAAGTATGAAGTGCCCCAGCTGGGGACACCTTTGGGTCTGTAGCAGCTTGGAGCTGCAGTGGGGAGTCCCTGAGCTGTGGAAGAGACTTTGGAGTCTGATGTCATGGGTCTGTGCCACCTATGTTGGGAACACCCCTGTAGCTCAGACCAAACCCAACAAATCAGGATGTGCATATAAAGTTGGGAAATCTGTTTCCCCTACAAGGACACAGTAGGCATCTCTGGTTTTATTTATTTATTTTTTAAGCTTTATTTATTCATTTATACAAGCACTAGGTACAGTCAGAAGCACAGGAGGGCGAGAGAATTCACCAGAGTCAGAGCAGAGAGCAGAGTAGGCAGACTGACGAAGTACACTGCTGAGGGGAGCAGCGGGCGGCAGGAGAGGTCTGCGCACCATGTGGGACCCTCACCCAGGCTGCCGGGGATCGAACTGGCACTGCAGCGGCTGCGGGCAGCTTCACAACCCAGCGCTCAACCGCTGTGCCACCAGGGAGGCCCACCTCTGGTTTTAAAATGAAAAGGCTGGGCCTCCCCAGTGGCGCAGAAGTTGAACACTGGGCTGCGAAGCTTCCCGCAGCCTCTGCAGCGCCAGTTCGATACCCGGCTGCTTGTGAGGATCCCACATGGTGCACAGACCTCTCCTGCCGAGTCCACTGCTCCCCTCAGCAGTGTACTTCATCAGTCTGCCTGTTCTGTTCCCCGCTCTGGCTCTGGTGAATTCTCTCACCCTCCCAGGCTTCTGACTGTACTCAGTGCTTGTATAAATAAATAAATAAATCTTTTAAAAAATAAATAAAATGAAAAGGCCAGACTTATCCCTCGTGTCATCAGGCTTATTTACCTTGTGATGGTCACTGGCTTTCAAGGCCCATTGGCCATAGGCTGAGAAGTACACTACAGGGACACTGTCCATCCAGAGCAGGGAAGTTCAGGATCCTTCAGTCATCCTCCATGTATGAAAATCCAGAAAATACCACTTCTGATAATCAGGCTCCTCCTATCTTTTTTTTTTTTTTTTTTAAACATCAGCATCACTTGAAGAGGATCAGGCAAGGCTCAAAATATGGCTAGAAGGCAAAGAGAACAAAATGGATGTTTAGCTACTCTTAAAATGTACCCTCTGAAGAGAGGAATAATGATGTCAGGTCATATTATGTTACCCTAACTGGCAGAGTAAACAACAAATACAGTAAGTACTCTTAAAAGTTTGAAAAATACCACAGTATACGGCTTTAATTTGGGGTGAATTCTATTAATAGCTCTCACTGAATTTTTACCGTGGGCCAAGCCCTATGTTATATGTGTCGCACATATTTCTTATTTAACCTCCACAGCGACAGTTTCCCCCATGTTAACGTTTGTTTCTGGTTGTATTACCGTTCCCCATCCCTAATTTTCTCTACTGAACCCCCCCTACAAAATTCTATAAAGAATACAAATAGGGCCTCCCTGGTGGCGCAGGCAGTTGAGCGCATTGCTGTGAAGCTGTCCGCCGCCTCTGCAGTGCCGGTTCGATCCCCACTGGCCTCAGAGCAACCCACATGGTGAGCAGACCTCTCCTGTCTCGCCCGCTGCTCCCCTCAGCATTGTATTTCGTCAGTCTGCCTGTTCTGTTCCCAGCTCTGTCTCTAGTGAGTCCTCTCACCCTCCCGCGCATCTGGACTGTACCCCAGCTCTTGTATAAATAAAAAATAAATCTTTAAAAAAAAAAGAAAGAATACAGATAAGCCACCTTCCAAAAGGACCATCAGAAGCAGTTTCATCTTACCCTGCATCTTTGTTTACCTTGTTTACAAGAAGTTCAAGTCCCTGATACACAGTTTGAGCTGTATGTATCAGCTGTGTTCAGTTATAATCTGTCCTAAGCTCCCACCCTCTCTAACCTCACAAACTCTTTCATTGGCCCTTGGTAACTCATAGTTTGTCTACAAAATCTACATCATCCTTTATCCTGCCTCTTTCTCTAAGTGATATATGTTTTTCCCCTAATCCTGTACCACTTCATCCGATATATACTCACAAGTCACCTCCTTCCACATCTTCTTTAACCTCCATTTCTCCCCACTCCTTTTTTCTGCTGTGTATTATGTATTCATATGTGTAGCTTGTTTTCTGTTTACCTACTGGAGTATACACTTTTCAAGGGTGGAAATTTTTGTTCACTAATACATCCATAATGCCCAGAACAGTACCCGGCATATTATCCTTTCTCAATAAACATTTATTGAATGAGTGAATTCATGAATGAGGTAACAAAGACATGAAATGGAAAAGTAAGTTGACTCTGATCACATTGCTTTTAATCAGCCAATTCAGGTCTGTGTGATTGCAAAACCCTGGCACCTAAGCACCATGTTATTCAGCCTCAATGGCTTATGTGAATGCAGAATGAGCAAGACTATTCTGGCCAAACTCGAGTAATCCATAGTGGGGTGTCAGTATAGGAATGTCAGTTTAGGGATGTCAGTATAGAGAATTTATCAGAATTTTGGCAGAATCTTAAAGGATCATAGTTTGCTGTGCTTCTCAGTTATTTATTTAATTGTATAGTTATCAAAGAGGTTAATTACTTGTGGTATGGTTTAAAAAGATGAAAGCTATGCCAGGGTAAAGAGAAGTAAGGGAAGTGGACTAGATGAATTTAGTTTCACCAAACAGACTCTGCAAAAAGGATTTGAGTGTAAAGAATTTATTTGGAAAGTCAGCTGGACTGTGGTATGTTCATACAGTGAAGCAACTGGTTGGTGCCTATCAAGAAACTTGTGATGAAAGTTAATGTAATTGGAAAAGTAGAGCTTAAAATGCATATGTACACAATGATGACAACTTTAAACTCTGGGGTGTGCTAACAATAGACGAGATCTTGATGCTCATCATTGGTGATTCAAGTGTTAGGATTTATGTGGTTATTTCATGTTGGTCTTGAATATTTGCATGTTTCTGTTTAACTGTTACTACTTGGATGACTAAATACACAATGATCAATTTATTAAAGAAGATGGATGATTAAATATATAAATAAAAAAGAAGAAATATAGTGTACCAGAATGTGAGCCAGGCGAATGTGTCATCCCATCTGCCGCACATCCTCTTCCTTCCTGTTGTCTGTCTCCACTGATCACGGGCACCCAGCACTGCCTGTCATCCGACCCTCTGCCTGTAACCCCAGCATGTTGTGGGCCACCAACCCTCCAACTGCCTTTGCCCCCTGATTACTCTCAGATGCTTCTCTCTCCAGTTTTCTGAGGCTTTCCCCCTCTGCTCTTGCGCTCCTCCTCCTGGCTGAGGCCGTCTGCGTTATCCCTTCCATATGCTGCAGCACTCACCCGGCTCTTTTGGCTGCATAGTCCTCCTCCGTGTTTCACTTTGTCTGCTTCCTGCCCAGTGCTCCTAGCCCTGCCTGCGGAAATCCTATGACTGTTCTGACGTCATCCATTCCTTTCTAACTCTGCACTTACTGCTCTCAAAGTCTTTATTCTTCCCATACCAGGCAGGGTTCTTGGTAACAAACCATAGAAATCCACTCTGCTGGCTGAAACAGTAAAAGAATTTAATGAAAGGCTGTTGAGAGCTCTCAGGACTACCAGGAAAGCTAATGAAGAAGGATTAGAAAACACAGACAAAGGGAGAGCTGAGCACTAGAATCATCGCCAAAATTCCATGGTCACAGAACTAAGGGGTGTGGGGGGTTGCTGCTGCTACTATTGCAGCACAGTGCACCCTGCAGCCGACGCCGCTGGTGCTGGATGCTGGATTCTGCCAATGGTGCATTTGCCACCAGGATAGGTTTTCCTCTGGCCTTGCTTCTTTGTACCACTAGCTGCTGGTCAGATCTAGACAGAGACCCTGGCTGGCACCTTGCCCATATGCAGCTGCAAAGTGGTCCAGACAGGAGTGTCTCCCTTCTGCCATGAGATGGGCTCTGGCTCCTGCCACAATTCACACAGTTGGGAAATGGCTCACACAGAGTCCAGGTGAGAACCAAAAAACAAAAGGCCACATGGCCCGACCCCATCCATGGCCATTATTTTATTTAACTTTCTACAACTTCCTTTAGTCCTTGAAGCTGTTGCTTCTAACCCCTCACTCAGCAAGAACTCTGGAACATAGCTCAAGGCAAAGTTAAAACCTTACAGATTTATATACAAAGATGTTCACAGCAGCATGAGATAGCAACAAAAAAAAAATTCTGACAGTAATGGAAAGTTAGACGAACTATGAGATATCTTCAGGATTAACAGCAGTTATTAAAAAATAATGGGTTTTTAAACGCTTTCACAAAATACAATGTGCGTATGAAGACACTGGAAGAGAGTACACCACAGTGTTAACTGGTAGATAGGATTAGAACGCCCCTTCTCGGGCCTCCCTGGTGGCGCAAGGGGTTGGGACGCAACCTATGAAGCTGTCCGCAGCCACTGCAGCATAAGTTCGATTCCCCAGCCAGCCAGGGATTTGACCCACATGACACAGCAGACCTCTCCTGCCTCGCCCGCTGCTCCCCTCAGCAGTGTATTTCATCAGTCTGCCTGTTCTGTTCCCCGCTCTGTCTCTGATAAATCCTCTCACCCCCCACATCTCTGGCCTGTACCCCAGCTCTTGTATGCATAAATAAATAAATCCTAAACAAAAAAAAGAACGCCCCTTCTCTTCGTTAGGGCATTTCTGTAGTTTTGGCATTGAGCTGAAGAGTTAATGTTTAAAATAAAATCCATTGAAAACAAACATCAGTGCCATTTTTATCCTTTGTCTTGCTCTCAGAAAGGACAGTTTTTCCCAAGCCAACCTCAAACTAAGTTCTCTAACTGCTACATTTTTCTCTCGTGTTGAAAGAACGCCTCCTGTCCCATATAATAGTTCCTCCTTCGCCACCTGTTTGTTCCCACTGACCTCTGTATTCACATATTCAATTCTGTAAACCCTTTTTTCCCCAGCCCTGCTTATTAGCTCAGCCGACTCCTACTTGAGCTCCTCTCTCCCACGTGCTCACTCCTCTCTGTATTTATCCCAAAATATCTCTGAAATAGTCCTCTCTGAGGCTGCCATTACTTTTCTCTTAGACAAATCTAAAGCTCTCTTTTCAACCTATACCCTTGTAGCATTGATGGCTGCACGAAACTATTGATTGTTTCATCTTGTTGGCACACTTCTAACATAGGCTTGGTCTGGTAGATGGGATTTTTCTTATTTCTCTAAAATAAGAGGGTGTGTTTTTCAGTACCTTAACTGACTTCGCTTGCTGCTAATCCTTGCAATCAAGCTATTCTTCCTGTGTCTCCTGCTCCTGCACCTCAGTGTTTGCTCCCTTCCTAATCATCCGGCTTACCATCTGCATAGTGGTGCCTGAAATGAAAGCATTGATTTTGGCAGACCTTTGCCCTCCATGTGGGCTGCCGGCCTACACCAGCTCAGCTTCCACAGCTGGCCCCAGTTCTCCAGCTTCATGGCCTAGAAGCTCAATCAGACCCCTACGCTGTGCTCCCGTGTTCATGAATCCTCTTTAGTCACCACTTTCACCAGCAAGAGACTGTCCAAATATCTAATTTTCAGCCAGTGCCTCAGACTCTGACTCTGCTTCTCTGCCTGTCTCCTGGATTGCAGCCTCACTGGGCTCTCCATCTGGCTTGCAGCCTCACCTGCACATGGACTCCTATATCCCCCTCAACTTCATGGCTGAAGTCTTTGACCTTTAACCAACCCAAGAACGCCAAGGTGTTGGCCTATATTCTGTGTATGGCATTCTTACTAGACTAGGAGTTGAAACTACCCAAAGTTAAATATGTCTTTTCATATGTCATTTCATAAATATGTCTTTTCATATGTCATATCATGTGCTGATATGATGTTTCAGCCAATAGCACTTGCCCTGTGGTGACACAAATGTGCAGAATAACAATCCTCTTCTAAGTTTTCTTGATCCTTGACTTGACTCATCTACCTTCATGACTTCATATTTATACTACCACCGACCTCTTTCTGCTTTCTAGACCCTTACTTTAGTTTATCTCTTGAATTTCCTACTCTCAGAGTTTATTTATTGATTTGTTGTTTCTTCCAGCAGGCACATATTAAATACCTACCAGTTGGCACTGCAGATGGTCAGAGGCTAGTCAGGGAGTTAGACAAAATAAAAAGCTATTCCAGTTAGATGCATGTTAATGCTAGTGACAGAAGTCCTGATTCAAACTGGCTTAAGTGAAAATGGAATGTATTCACTCATATACCTGGCAAGTCTCGGAGCAGATCTGGTTTCCTTCAGACACAGCTGGATTCGTGGATCTTAAATGCTACCTTTGGGATCTGGCCTGTCTTCCTCTTTCAGCTGCGCTCTGCTCCATGTTGGGATGGCTTCATTCTCAAGGGCTCTAAGATATGACAAGACAGATGTTAACAGTGCCAGGTCCATATCCTCTGAGATTCCGACACAGTAGAAAAAGAGCAGCCCCTCTCAGCCCTAACAAAAGTTCCACTATGTCTTGTGGTTTCTCACTGGATTATGTGCTCTTCCCTGAACAAAGACCTGTGCCAGGGAATTTGATGCTGTGATTGGCCAGACTAGAATTATATCTCCTCTTCTTATAGCTGGGGATAGAGTCAGCTCTACTCCACCCCTTAAATTGACAACAAGCAACACGAAAGTTCCCCTGAGGAAAAAGTGACAAGTTTGGGATGGTAAAAAATGGCAATAATTTTAAAAGCTCTCAGTGACAGTCATTATGGCAGCCAAGTCCCTGGGTGTTTCTGATAAGCGTGTTTAGATAGTTACAAACAGGGTCAAGTCTGACAAAGGAAGCATTTGACTATATACAATAGACAAAAGATTCCCTCCTCCCTTACCTCCTCATTCCTTTCTGTCAGCAAAATTTAGTGAGTGCCTATTTTGTACCAGGTACAGAGCATAGAGTATACTAGAAGCTGGTCCTGCCCAGAAGACAAGGTAGTGAGGAAGAGGGATCAGGGCCATGGACCCATGCTGCTTGAGATTTTCTATTTTAAGGGATAGAGATGGGAAGAATGCTTTAACCATTATTTTTACAAAGTTGAAAAGACAGCTCCAAGTATTATATGTATGTCATCTTTGCCGAGATCACCTCAATATTTTCTGTTTTGTTCAGTGCTTGGAATAAGTCTCTCTGGTATGCCTCCTTAAGTAGTGGAAGTGCCATAATCCACAGTTTTTAAATGTTTTGCCAAGGCTGCTATAAAAGTCAGGGTTAATAAAACCTATGCTTAATTAAAATTGGATTTTCTGAGCCTGATTTTTCCTTGAGATTAGTTTGCTTTTTTTTTAATATTTGGTTTATGGTTTTATTTTGCCTATGACTTTCTGTAGTAAGATGCCTCAAGATACAGAAATACAACAGAGATAATAAACAAATTCCCTTTAATTTCTACTTTTACCTTAACAGTCTCTGCTTCTGGTCTGTGTCAGGTTAATGTATCTCCCACCAATGCCCTGTCATCTCCCCTTCTGTAGACGGCCATCTCCAGCAGTATACTCACAGCTTACAGAGAGAGGACCGACCACATATTGAAATGAAGACATGGGCTTAGACATTTTTGTAAAGGCAATAAATGTGAAAATATTTTTGTGACATTCAAGATCCAAGAAGTAAGCAACACGTTCTTTTTAATCTGTGGGTTATGTTTTGTTCTGTACTAGAGAAAAACAGATTGAGAACAGCAACACAAATAATCCAGTTTTGGGGAATACATTAATACAGTGGTTTTCAGCTGGAGACAGTGGGCAATGTCTGGAGATTGTCTTGTCTCTTGCAATCTTGTGGCAGCAGGGGATGCCACTGAACATGCTGGAGGGCAAAGGACAGGCCCCAAAATGAAAAGCTGTCTGGTACAAAATGTAAATGCCACTCTTGAGAACCCTTGCATTCATAGGATTTTTAGAATTCTGAACTCTGAAAGGATTCAGAGCGAGCTTGTAATTTAGGCTGATGACAAAACTAGAGGCAATTTAGTCATTGAATTATATAATCCTGGAGCTAAAAGGCAAAGTCATTTAGTCCAGTCTCCGGGTTTTCTGCGTTGGTAATAGTCACAGGAAAAAAGTGACCGGAAGTCACAGAACACCTCCACCTCCTAAACCTGGGATTGAGCCCCCTTGCTTTCTCTGTACTGTTTCCTATTCTGCAAAAAAGAGATAATAAAACTCCGATGATTACTGTGAGAATTAATTAAAATAGTAGATGAGAAATAGTTGGTACCATATCTGTCCTTGCTGTTAATAAATGGTGGTGAGGGCCGAAATGGTGATGATTGTGGCTGTTGTTGCCTGTGGTCACTGAGCTAATTCCCAGGTTGTTTACCCCTCTGCTGACTCTCAGTCCCATTGTCTTTCTACTACCCTGTGTTGAGAATCTGTGAAGAAAGGTTATAAGGGCAACTCAAGGGAGATTAAAGAAGAACATCTGGAGAGCAGCTTAAAAGTGGTAATGCAAGACAAAGTTTGAACAAATGTTTTCCACAAAAGGCAGGGAGTTAGAATTGTAGGTAGGAGTTTTAAGCCAGATACAAAAGAGACTGACTCCTTCCTGAAACAGACTACTTTCTCTCTTCCCAAAGTTCTATGGGTGATGTGCCAGGTGATCTCACCTCCAGGATGGACAGAGCCTGCATTCACATGAGTATTATTGGACCCTAAGAGATTTGACTTTGAAATATCGGAATGGTGAACAGTATATCTGGGGACTCTTTCAACTTTTAAGCTTTTGTGATGTTTAATACATTTATGGCCGTTGTGCTGGAAAAATCACATGACGTTGTAGATCATGCCCAGTAGACATGTAGACAGCCACGAATCTCCTATATTATGATTTATGGAGTAAAAAGTACTTCATTAGGTTAAACTAATTCAGGCGACATGAGCATGTGATTAAGATGTTGTCTAAAATGCCTTTTCCCTGTGAAAATACTAATAAATTATCTTACCAACAATTCTGTGAAATAGGTTTGGTTTCATTTTCTTAAAAGACTTAAAAAAAATCCTTTTTGGTTGTTGTGTGAGTTGAATTTTTATTTCTCTTGTTAGGTTCACCAACTAAATTATTTTTTTGTTTTTTCTTAGCTGAGACATAATTAACCTATAACATGTGTAAGTCTGAGATATACAAGGTGTTGGGCTTGATGTGTTTGTATATTGCAATATGATTACTACAGTAACATTAGCTAACACCTTTATCATAGCACATTATTATTTCTTTTTTTGTGCAAAGAATAAGATCTAGTCTCTTAGCAACATTGAAGTTTACAATACAGTTTTGTTGGTTTAATCGCTGTACTGTGTATTAGTGCTCCAGTAACTACCTACTCATTGCAAGTTTGTCCCTTCAAACAGCATCTCCTCAATTCCCCCACCCCCAATCAAATAAATTGTTTTTAACCAATGACTTTCTATAAAAATTAGCAGAATTCAAAAGCATGAACACTCTGGGTTATAAGCTTAGGTTAAATTCTCTTGAAAGAAAATCTCATTCATTTAATAGCCTTCTCTCATCTACCCGACTTGTTGGCTTGAACTACTAAAATTATTCTACATAATTAGTATTTTAAAGTCATTTTCTCCTGCATTTTAACATGCTGGTGTTCCAACTAGTGTAAAGATTATTTTTAAAAATCAATGAGAACAAGTTTGTACCTGTGAAAACAGTGAATCATAAGTGATTTTGTTTGTTTCCTATTTATATGTGTGATATTTGAAATGCACAAAGCAGTTGGAGAAGAACAGCGGCAGCTGGAGAGCACTCAGGGCCAATCTAGACCCCTCCTGTAGCACACGCAGAGGCCACAAGGGCGGAGAGGTTAAGTGATTTGCCCCAGTCTCACACGGGTTGGTAGCTGGAGAACCAACAACCAACCACACAGCCCTGCCTGGCCCTATGTGTGTGCTCGTTAATTGCTGGATCTTGACAAGGAACAATTTAAGTTTTGGAATAATTCAAAATCTTCTCTAAAGTTTGACTGTTTTCAATTTTAAATGATTCATTTACATTAGTATTCTGTATTTTAACTTGACCTTCAACTTTTTTTTTTTTTAAGGTATTGTGTAACGGACCAGGAACATGTGTTCCTATCTGTATCTCTGCTCTTCTCCTTGGGATACTCGGAATAAAGAAAGTGATCATTGTCTATGTCGAAAGCATCTGCCGAGTAGAAAATTTATCCCTGTCTGGAAAGATTCTATTTCACCTCTCCGATTACTTCGTTGTTCAGTGGCCAACACTTAAGGAGAAATATCCCAAATCTGTGTACCTTGGGAGACTTGTCTGACAAATGACAACTTGTAGTCAACAATATTATAATAGGCCGGGGATGGGCCTATTATACATGTTAATTGTGTAAAGACTTTTGAACGTCCTGAGAAATTTTGGTGGTCAAAAGTAAAAAATGTGTAAATAATTCAGTGAAGAAAAAGGTTGCTCTTATAAAACAGGCACTAATAAACTTTTAAGTATTTGTGTCTCTGTGCACCAACTTTCTTTTCTATATAAAAGTATCTATCACTCCCGCATCTTATCTTCTGACTTGTTTTAGTGATGTGTTTTCTAGAACCACAAATAGAATTTGTATGGCTAATAACATTTCCTATTCAACAGCTTATTTTTTTTCCAAAGCATTCTTCATTGTCAAAAGGAAAGAAAAAGAAAGGGATTTCTTAGTTTTTGTTCAGCTACAACAGGCTTTATTTCCTGTATGGCAGCAGTGAAGTCCCTGGTGAATCCAGCATAAAGAAAACACTTCTATTAGCTTGAATTCATGACAGTTTGCACTCCACAGAATTCTAGAACCATAAACATAAACCATTATTTTTATTTTGCTCTTCAGTCTTACTTTGTGAGTAGTTGACCTCAATCCAGAATACCTTTTAAAAAACTGTTGTTTAATTGTTCAAATTAAAAGGTGACCATTGTCATAGTAATAAAAATAGATTCTGTTTATCTGGAATCCAAAGTCTCAAAATGCTTTTTTAAATGTTTTAGTAAATTCATGTTTGTAGTTCTTTGATATTTTGAGATGTTTAGGCTCAACAGAGTAAATACTTACTAATCATTCATATAGTGCTTGCTATATGGCAGGTGTTTCAAAATGCTTTTCAAATGTTTATTTAATCCTAAAAACAGCTCAATGATGTGAGGACTCTTCTTACCCCTATTTAAAAATGGTATGTCCAGAATCACATGACTAGTAAGTGGCAAAACCTGGATTGAGAGCAAAGCCTGTTTTGTGGGTATGTGCCTGTACAGTCACAGGGGACCCGACACTGAGCAGGGTCCTTCCTGCTTTTGGTTCAGTATTCAGCTGTCATTTTATTGAATTTCTTAAATGATTTGAGCAGGGGGCCCATATTTCATTCTGCTTCAGATCCCACAAAGTATTTAGCTGGTCCTGATTGAGAATCTGTGTTCCTGATGATGCCATGTCAAGTACAACAGAATTATAAGCCTTAAAGAAAGCCCACCCAGGTAACTCCTCAATAAATAAAATAAAATTCCAGGGGAATTCCATCCCCCGGCCCCTTAAGCTCTGCTCCTTTTACAAGGCAGCACATAATGAGAAGGCCTGTTGTAGTATTTAAGTTTCCTTCTTTTTCTCTTAACCTTCTCTTTATAAATATGATATAAATCTGGTAGAAAAATTCTAAAAAATTAATGAAGAGATTGACTTTGAGTGAGAAAACCCTGCTCACCTGAGACAATGTAAAATTTAAATGCCAAGACTGATCCAGCCTTTCTTATCCTCTTGAAACATTTCTTTCTCTGGATAAAGTGAGTCCATCTATCCTTGGGACATTTTCCTAGGTTTTCAGCTGAAGAAACACATGGCAGGAGCCTCTCAGAACAGTGAAAATACTTCACCATGTGGATTCATGACCATGAGACAGCCAAGCAGTAGTTCACTGTGTTTTGACTCTAATTCTCAAAGCTCAGGCGCTGACTCAGTATTCGCTGACGTAAAGGCCTTGTGTTTGTATCACAGCATGTTTGTGTGGTTCAACCAGGAGCTGAGATGAAATAAGCCTCTGCTACCTAAAGAGGAAGTGGGGGGGGTGTGAGAGAGAGAGAGGGGGGGGGGAGAGAGAGTCTTTAAGGGAGGACAGCACAAGACTTTTATTCCCCTTTGAACTTTTTCTTTGCTGCACTTTGTTCCTCAGTAGCACTAGGTAAATAGTTGAGTGAAACTGGACTGCATTCAGTTCTGTTAATGCCTATCTGTGCTCTAGGGCAGCTTTGCAGGTGGGGGAAGTGGCTGACTCTATTCAGTAATGCGCTACAGAAGTTCTAGTAGGCCCAGGTTTACAATGCTTAAGCCAGGGGGAGTTATAGAAAAGATGCTATTATTTTTTTTTGCAGAAACATATGTCCCACGTGTTTTGCAGAGCCTTAATCTAGACGGTGGTTAACCTAGAATGTCAGAGAAAGAATCTATATGTGCTATATTAATACAAGTTTAGAAATATCTTCCTGGTTCAGGCTGCTATGCTCACATGGAGAGTCAGACTGGGGCACAAATTATCATGCTTTCTCGCTCAGTTCCCATTCATTTGCTAAACAAGTGCGTGTTCTGCTGTGTTATTATTATGACTGATTCACATTCTCAAGGTCACTCTAGGGAAGGTACTGGTTTGAGTTTATAGCTGGTTTAGGGGGATGGTTTCCCTGATGAGCATTGCTGTGACATAAGGTAGATGGGGCTCCAGTCTCAGCTCTGAGGCTCAGCAGCTAGCTTGTCCTTTCCAGTTTCCCTTAAAACGCTCTGGAATGCCACTTGAAGAGTTTGTTCAAAAAGAATTCTTGCCAATGAGATCACGAACATATTCATATTTCAAATATACAAAAATTATGTTTCCAGTTATTAGTTTGCTTACTTTTGCATATCAAAATAGAGGCATAAGGATATATGCAAAATAATAGGAGAAAATAAAGCCAAGAAATAAAAAAAAAAGAAGAATTCACTGCATCAGCCTTTAAATAAGGGGGAAATTGCACATCCTGCCTACACCTACTTCCCTGGAAGATTTTTATCTACAGCCCAGCCATCCTAAAGGGTCTCAGCAGCTTGCCAAGTCAGAAAGTAAATGTTACGGATAGGACATCCAAAAGTCATCACAGGAAGCTTTAGCCTGGAACGGAGAGTGCTATGAAACACTGTCAACAAGAGAATGTTGTACAGTTTTAAGTTGAATAGCAAAAGGTCCTTGCTAAAAGGGCACACTTCCCTTATAAAAGCAACTTGAAACACATGTTGTATTTGGCCTTCTAATACAGGTTATAGAATCAGGAAATGTGATATCCCTTACTGTTGAGTTCCTTTTGAAAACCCCCGTCTCACCAAAAGGAGTTTGATAGCAATGTGTTAAGCATCTTTTATGGGTAATAAGCACATCATTGAACAGAGAACCGACTGGTGATTATCTGGTCAGGGCCTGGGGGGCAAGTGAAATGGGTAAAGGGGTGTACTTATGTGATGGTGAAGGGAACTAGACTCTTGTTGGTAATCATGATGTAGTTTATATAGATACCAAATTGCAGTGTGGTATACCAGCAATTATACAGTGTTATAATCTATTGCTACCTCAATAGAAAATTATTTAAAAAATATAACATCATCATGAGTGCTAAAGATCGTCCTTCTGCAGCCTAGGGTTTGGGACTTTATGGAATTTTGTGCCTATGGTTTCAGCCCTGATACACAATGTGCATATGCTTAGATTTTCCTGTCTGCTCTGAACTTTCTTCTGTTCAGGATCCTCACTCAAGCTCTGTGAAAATGAACTGTCAATAGTTGTGTTCTTGTTACTAACTCACTGTAAACATATATTTGTCATAAGGCTTTCTTTCCCTCCAGAGTACTAGCCTCTGTCATAGCTCTCAAACAACAAATTTTGGAATAGTTTTTGGTTTTTTATTCTTTCTTTTATCCACGTATAATTGGTTGCATATACATATATATATGTATATGTATATATGTGTGTATATATATATATATCCAGAATTATTCCTCGTTCTCTCATCCTCTCCTTGTCATCTGAATTCACTCATTGATTTTGCCTTGGAACTAGCCCATATACACCCTTTCCTCTTCAGTCTGTGGTCCTAGCCTAAGCTAACACTTCATGAATGTCTTGTTTTTAAAGATTTATTTATGTATACAAGAACTGGAGTACAGGCCAGAGGTGGGGGGGTGAGAGGATTCACCAGAGACAGAGTAGGAACAGAACAAGCAGATTGACTGAAATACACTGCTGAGGAGAGCAGCGGGCGAGTCAGGAGAGGTCTGCTGCTCCATGTGGGTAACTCCCAGACCGGGGATTGAACTCGTCCTGCAGTGGCTGTGGATTGCTTCATAGGTTGCGTCTTAACCCCTTATGCCACTAGGGAGGCCCCCTGAATGTCTTGTTTTATTAGCACATTTTTTGAGGAACTGAGGTATAGAGAATACCCAAGATTATATAACCTAAAATGACACAGCTGGGATTTGAACCAAGACACTCCAGCTGCAACCAGGCTTACATGAACATCTAGATATTTTTTAAAAAGTGTTAAAAAAGAAATAGTTTGCTAACCTCTGATATAGCCACCTATACCATAGGTAAGCACTGGCCTAATGATATTTACTATCATATTGGAACACCTCGTGCTTAGAACACCTATGGAAAGAATAAATGAATGATTTTACTCATCATTTTTTGTTAGCCTTACTTTAGGATATATCCCACATACCACTTTGGTGACCTTGCTCCCCTCTCAGTCATACCTGTCACTGTTATGGACAAAATCTACATATTAATTAAATTGATAAATCTCTATGCTTTAGGCTTCATCTGGGCTTACTTAGTTACTCGTCTAACATTTAGTTATACTTCATCTAGTCAGTGGTTTTCAACATTTTTATCTCAAAACCTCATCATGCTCTTAAAAATTCTTGAGGAGGGCCTCCCTGGGGGCACAAGGGGTTAAGCACAGCACTATGAAGCTATCAGAAGCCTCTGCAGCACGAGTTTGGTCCCCGGCCAGACAGGGAGCAACCCACATGGCACAGGAGAACTCTCCTGACTCGCCCGCTGCTCCCCTCAGCAGTGTATTTCAGTCAGCCTGCCTATTCTGTTCCCCACTCTGTCTCTGGTGAATCCTATCACCCCCACACCTCTGGCCTGTACTGCAGTTCTTATATGCATAAATAAATAAATCGTTAAAAAAATTGTTGAGAAACCCAACAAACTTTTGTTTATATGTAAAGTTATTGTGAGTATTTTCCACAGTAGAAGTTAAAGTTTTTGAACTCAAGAATATACAAAGACCTATTCCATTAGCTATCAGACCAATGATCTCATACATTAAGTAGTACTAGAAAACTATAAAAATCATGAGAAATGAGAGGGGGAAAGTTATATAAAATTGAAATCCTTCTATGTTGTGAGAGTGTAGATTGGTTTAGCAGCTATGGAAAGCAGGTTAGCAGTCGCTGAAGAAGTTAAACATAAAAACATTAACATAGGACACAATTGTCCTCCTAGGTATATACCCCAAAATATGTTCAGAGGATAACGTACACAAAAGTATTCATACCATTGTTATCCACAATAGCCAAAAGTGGAAACAGCTCAAATGTCGAACTAATGAATGGATTTTTTTTAAATGTAGCATGTCCATACAATGGAACACTATTCAGTCACAAAGAAGGAATGATGTACAAATAAAATATGTGATGTACCTCAATATGGATGAATACACCTTGAAAACATGCTAAGCCAGTCACAAAAAAAAAAAAAACACATTTGCATTTAGAGGAAATATCCAGAATAAGCAGATCCGTAAACAGAAATAGATTTGCTACAGGGTGAGTCAGAGGCATTCCAGAACCCCCAAACCTGCCCACTTTAAATAGGTTCTGCCATCCGCCACATCAAGACAATTCATACTCTAATGGGTAAGACCTTT